ATAAAGTGGTGTTTGTTTTTTCCCTTTACACAATGTGGCACTGCCAGAGATAAGACACAGGGGAAACAACTTACGGGTAATAAAGCAGCAGTTAGCATGAGCATAGAGTGCCTGCAGCCTCCCATAGCTCCCTGCTCATTTTGCTGCCATGGCCTGGTTGCTGGAGCTCAAAAATGGGAATAAACTGTGCCCTGTGGTGTGTGTATTTCTCCTTCAGACTACCCTTAGCAGAAGATGAATTTCTGCATGACCCTGTGGGACCTTCCTCCTCAGAAATGTCCCCCGGATTCTCTCGAGGAACCTGAGTTCTGAAAATAGGTAGAACTTATTTCCCCGGGTTTTTTTCTGTGGTTTGAGATTGGCAGTCAAACTACACGACTTTGAAAGCCTGTGTGTAATACAGGACCCGATTTGGTTTGATAAAAGAATGAATTAGCCTGCTCTTGATTGCCTTCTTTCAAGCAGGCAAGAAGCTTCCTTTCAAAACATGTTTCTTGTTGCTTACTGAAAATAGGTAAACATTTATCCTCCTTGTTTGTTGTCTTTTCGTAGCTCTGCAGTTGTTTGTTTAGTTTTTTTGAGTGGTTATAATGCTGACACAAAACCTGTTCCCCCCCAAACCAACAGTGAACTTGAGCAGTAACTTGGGAATATGTATTGAACAGAAACTGGGAGTAAACACAGAAATGTCTGGTAGCTGCTTCAGAAGTCTGATTCATCTAAGACTTGATAAAAGCAGATACTTTTGGGGACCACTTGGAGGGAGTTTTTGAATCTGATCAGGTGTGAAAATCGTTGTTTTTTTTTTTTTCTGGAGAGCCAGTGTGTCTACCTTGGCTTCATTCTCCTGGGACAGTGGGTGTGTGTTGCCAGCAGAGCCTTGGGCATCCACCCCTCCCTACCCCTGTTCTCCATGGGGTGTGTTTTTGCCAGTCTGCATTCACCCTGAAATACCTGGAAGGGTTATGGAGGGAAGGATTCAGGAGCATTTCTGTGCCATGTCCTTTACTCTGGTGCGGTGCTGAATCCACCTGGATCTTCCAGGATTGTTGTTCCTCACCTTCTGCTCTTCAGCCACTTAGGCTGTGCTATAGAGGGAGCTGCGGTGAACCTGGGGTGCCCTCCTGGCACGAACTGGGGGAGCTGCTGGATTTGAGCCTTCTAGAGCTTAATATGGGACATGTCCCTGGTCCCCAAACACCTGTATTCCAAATAGTATGGCTGAGTTACCTTTTATCCAGGACTGGATAAAAGAGAGACTGACTTGACCAAAACTACATCATAAAGTTCACTAGAAAAGCTCCTGCTTTTTTTTTCAGTCACTGTTATCCCCACAGCTTAAGATTTTTTTTTGGAGCAAGATTCACACCCCACACACCCTGATTAATTTCTTTGTATCTCAAAAATCTTTGTCAGAAAACCTTTCCTGAAACTTACTTAAAAAAAATATTATCTTTTTGTCACAGACTTTACTTGACTGAGCTTAGAAGAATTCCCTCTCATGTATTTGGAGTTGTGTTTCTGATTTTTTTTTTTCCTGTGTGGTTCTGTTCACAGAGTTTGGAGGACAGTTCTCCTCTCTGTAGGAAGCTGCAGGACTGTTGGAGGTCCCCTTTTTGTAGCAGTTATTCCTTGCAGTAGTAGCACCTCCCTCCCAGTGTCTCCCACCGTGGGGAGAACTCTCACAGCACAAGTTGTTGTCGTCTTTCTGAAGGCGTTGCTGGAGGAGCAGCTCTGACTCCTGGCTCTGGTGGTTTGGGAAGGCACCATCTGCTCTGAGCTTTCAGTCTGAGCCGTGCTGGCAGAACAGACCGTGTTTTTCACGTGGAACTCAACTGCTCTAACACCTAAACTGGGGCCCTGGTGCTGAGGGAGCTGACGGGCACTGCTGCCCCTCCTGTCCCTGACTCAGCCCCTCTGTGCTGGTCCCTGCCCTCCCAGAAACTTTAAACTGGTAAAACAAAGGTAAAAAAATCCCTTTGCTCAGGATTCTGAGCCAGCATTCAGCACCAGAGTAGGCTGCTGCCTGCAGGGAATAAACCTAACCTGGTGGTACAGCTGTCTCTGTGTTCTGACTGATGCCACCAGAAATAATTTCTTACCTTGGCTTTAAGGTTTTCATCAGAAAGGGTGATTAAAAACATGAGACATGCCTGAGTTCAGTAGTAGGGGTGTGTTCTTGGGTTTTGTATGTGTGGAATAGTTGACACTGTTAGTTCTTAACATTTGTAGGGAAAGGGGGAGCTGAAGTACATAACTCAGGAATGAGTAAAAAAGGATTAATTCCTCCAGCAGGGCTAGAGCAAATGACAAAAGGGGAATGACAGAAACCATCCACTGACTGGAGGTGACTGGAAAGTCCAGAATATGTGTGTGTGTCTCTCTCTTCTTGTTTCTAACGAATAAAAAACCCCGTTCAGATGTTCTTCTCTTTCCCTTCCTCAAATAACCCTAATGCATGGTAGTTTCAGAGGGGTTTTTGTTCTTTTTACTGCCTTTCCTCAGAGGTGTTGAGCTGCAGTGTTAGATCATGTGGCCTTTAAAAGGAAAACATAGAAAATGTTTCTCTTTAAGCAGCTTCGTACTGAAGGTGGTGTCAATCTCAACCTTCATGGGACTCACAGTTATACTGTTGAGTCAAGTTCATGTCAGAGTTGTTGTTGTTTGACTTGTTCATGATTTTTTGGTACTTAATTTGTCTCTGGTGTTAAACTCTACTCTTGTTTGAAGACTGATCATAAAATGTGGTGTATAAAGCTCTTCCTGAGTGCCTGACCGGTTTGTGTTGGTGTTGCACTGCTCAAGTGGCACCAGAGTGGCTTTGTCTGTCCTGCAGGGGGGTACAGGGCCTTCAGAGGAACACGGGGTGCAGGTGGGAGCAATCCATGGTGAAAGGCTGGAATTAGGGGTTCTGAGCTGCTGATTTAGTCAGCTGTGTATGGATAAGGTTTCTGTGTCTGCACTGCGGTGGTTTAAGCTGGCTGGAAGGGCAGGCTTGGAGTGCACTCTCCAAGACATTCAAGGCCTTGTAAGTCAGCAGTAATGGCAGGAATGTGTCTGGTATGCTTTTTAAGGACCTGATCTCAATGAGGAGCTTGTAGTCATCTAAGGTTTATAATATTTCCTTTGTCTTTCAGATAAGAATTTGGGAGGTGAGAATTCTCTTACACTGCTTTTAGCACAAGAACAAATGCTGTGTCTCTTGTGTGCTTCTCTAGTTGTGTTGTCATAATTTTCTTTGGCTTTGCAAATGGTGCATTTTCCCTGGTTTTGTTACTGAGCTGCTGCTGCAGAAAACGTTTAATAGTTCACAGAGTGCCTGGTGGTTCTTACCTCCCTGCAGAAAGAAGAGCTGGTGATACACTCATGTCTGCAGCCTGCATTTGGCTTTGATAATTAATATAGTAGAACCACCTTATATTATTGGTTTGAGCTGCCTTGGTTATTGCAAAAAGCTCTTCAGCAGCGTTTTCACAACATTTGTTAAAAAATAACCTGGAATTAATAAACTGTTTGTAATGTACTTAAAATCTTGTGCATTAAAACTTTGTCTTTCTTGTGCCAGGAAAATCTTTTAAGTCAAAGATGCTTTAAAAAGACAAACCACTCCAGTGGTGAATCCATTACCCAGGCTTGGGTGGAGCTCAGATTATGTCATCAGTCAGGAAAATATTCCTGCTTCTGAGGTCATGCTTAGTGTGGAGATAGGAAAGACATCAGACTGTACTAAACTCTCATCCAAATTTGTAACCACTCTCTGAATATTGTAGCTGTTGTTCAGTGGCTTTTTTTGAAGGTGACTCTTCCAGTGAGTTCTTCTGCCATACAAGGCAGTTACCAGCAGCACTTGGGTTCTTCATTATTGTGGGATTTCCACATGTAATTCCCTCCCTCAAAACTGCAGTTTCAAAAAGGATAGCAAATATCACAGTATTGAAAGTTGTGTGTGGTTCCCACAGCTATTTTGTGGTTTGAAATTGCTGAACTCTCTGGTGGCTGACACGAACACCACCTGCTCAGAATGGGGGGGAACATGCTGGGCTTTTTTTTTTGTTTTTAATGCTGTCTGTGTGGTTCCCTACAGCTGGATGGAAGTGACCATCCCCTCCTTCATCACTGGGTGCTTTGAACTGCAGGAGGAGCAAGGCTGGCACAGCTGAGCTCTGTGGTGCTGCTGGGAAGGGCAGGCTGGGGCTCAGGAACTGGGGAGACATTCTGAGCTAACGTGGGTGCTGCTGCCTGGATTTGGTGGATTCCTCCAGGAGCTGTCCCCATGGCTGGAGGGCTCAGAATGCTTTCAGTGCTGTGGGTTTATATGAACCTGTAATTTGGAGGCTCATGGTTATTTTGCTCTTTTTCTTTGTTTCTACATTTGTTTTTTGTTGTGCAGACAAGGGAAAAGTTGTTCTTGGCTTCCATAATACTTAAGAGTTTTGTTGTGGTTTGTGTTGACTCTTGTTTTTGAAGTGGTGTGGTTCATTTGAGCTGTTGCACATGGCTGCAGGGACATTTGCTGAGAAGGAGGTGATTGTGGGGTGGTGTCACTTTTGACTTCGTCATCTGGAGACTCTTGCCATAACCAATTGCTAAATGTGTTTTTGTGTGGAGAGCATGCACCGTGGAGTGCAGAGTTTGGAAATCCGTGTGTTCCCATGGGTAAGGAATACAGCCTGGATGAGGGAGAACCAGGGGTAGGCACTGGGGAGGCAGAGGGAGCAGACTCTGGAAGGTTAAAAATGGGAAGTGGAGGCTGTGAGGTGAACTTTCTGCTTTGTTATCTATGCACTGAGATAACAGCCGTGGCTGTGAAATCACAGGAGTTTTAAGCACCACCATAAACATCATCAGGTTCCTTATAGCCATGAAATCAGAGTTTGAGGAATACAGTAAATACACTAATATAATTTTAAGTGTTATATTAATCCACAGTAACTTCATACTATTAACATATGGTGTTCAGCTTCAGAACTCGTTACTGAACGTTTTTCCTTCTTTATTAGTTTCTGGTGGCAAGAGGAGAATACTGACCTGAGATGGAAGTCAAAACAGCATTTAGCAAAGCCAGCAGGATTGCTGAAACTGTGTCCCCGTTAATTAATGAAGAATTTGTCTTGGTTCATCAGCAGCCTGAGGACACCTCTGGAAAAGATGAAAAACCTCAGCTAAAGGTTTGCTATGAATTTTTTTTTTTATACGTAGCAAGATTTGTATTGATCAAAAGATTGCAACTTCTTTTGAATATTTAATCAAAGATACTTGTGTGTGCTTGAGGAGACTCTGAGACTGTGATTTCTGTCCTTGCTCATTTCCCAGTGAAATTTAACAACTCGGATTAAGCAAATCTGTCCAAAAGTGGCACTTGAGGTTTTCTTTTAATAACTTCTTCAGGGATCAGCTTTGTGTCTATTCTGTGGATTTGTATATTAGTAAAGGACTAAAAAGTTCTTTTCAAAGAGTGAGGTTTGGTTTAAAGCTTGAGAAATATTCTTTATTTAGGGATCAGAGACTCTGAATGCTGTTATCTCAAAAGCATGTAATTAGGCTGCATAGAACTAGACCACAGAGGGTCTTGGGTTTTAGTTTTTAATTTAGTTTTCCTGCTTAGTGCTACTTTAGGCATGACTAAGGCCTTTTCTAAAACATTTCTACCTCTAAATAGCAGAATGTTTTATCACTTGGGTGGCAGCTGATTGGTTAATTATACATTTCCCCTCTTGAGCTGGAGGAGCTGATTTATTGGGTTTGGTCTGCTTGGAACAAGAGGAATTTGTTCCCTTTGAAGTGACGGTAATGACTTGGTTTGTCACAGCAGAACTGTTTGGGAGTTATTTACAGCCATGATTTCTGTCTGCAATGAGCACTGAGCATTGTATGTAATGGTTTGTGACACTGGATTATATCTGACTTAATGTTGTTGATTCTTAGGGTGTTGTCTTGTCCAGCAGAGCTTTTTAACTTTTGCAGTGAGCCAGACTGGATGTTTAAAAAATAACAGTGAAAGTAAAACTACAACTACCTTTAAAAATGTCATTTCCTTGTGCTTGCAGGTGTTTTCCAATGGAGATGATCAGCTGGAGAAGGCAATGGAAGAGATTCTGAGGGATTCTGAGAAGAACCAGAATGTCTGTGCTGTGCAGGAAGGCTGCAGTGATGGCAGTGGCCAGGCAGCTGCAGATGGCCCAGCAGGGCAAGCAAACCCCCCATCTCTGCACCTCGTTTTGGACCCTTCCACAACAGGTATTGCCTGGGGGCTTCCCCCTTTGGGCACACCTGGCAGGGTTCTCTTTGTGCACTTTGGAGTTAACCTTAAAATGAATATAAAGCTTTCTGGAGCTTCCTTCCAGAATTGTTCTGGGACCTCCTCTTCTTATTAGCTGAGGAATAGATTATCATCAGATTGATGCTCTCTGCTTGATAATTTCCATTCTGTCTCCAGATGATGTGTATATATATATACATGAAGGTACAATATAAAAAAATACATATTCCATTATATATATTGGGAATAGAAGGCTCTGACCACCTCTCTGTGCCTTGAATTAGAATCCTCTTTCCCTCAGCACCATGCAGAGCACTTCTGTGGTATTATGGTAGATAATTCCCATAGCACCTCTTGGTAAATAAAAGAAAGAAGGCTTTGTGGTAGAATAAGAGCGACAGTTGATGTGAAATGGAAACACCCATCTCTTAATTACATATGTGCTGTATTTTTGAGAACCTTCAATCAGAACACAGCCTTCAGCAAGAGCGGAGAGATACCTGTAGAGACCTTCCCCCTGCCCCACTCCAGCCCCAACAGGAATAGTTCAGTCCTGCAGCCTTTGTGATTTAAGCATTATGGCAGCATCAGCCCTAGGAATAATCAGAAATAAGAGGGCAGATTAGTTAGAAAGGTTTGGAATGTCTGTGCTGTGTTCTAGTGCTGCTGAAGAAAATCAAGAGGTGATTTGTCCCTGTAGCACACTTGGCAATGTGCAGTAGATTAGAACAGACTTCACATCAATATTAATCTACCAAGTGGAGTTCTTACTGTTGGAGCTGGGCTGTCCACTCTCGTGTCCCTCTCTAGGAAACACAGGAGACTTTGCTGTGGAACTCATTCGGAAAAGAACTGTGTTTCCTTCCTTTGCAGAAATCTGTGCTCCAAGGCCGTGCTCTCCCAGCGAGCCCCTGGAGGAGGACAGTGTGCTGTTCAACAAGCTCTCCTACCTGGGCTGCACGAAGGTGGCGGCCCCTCGCAGTGAACCCGAAGCCCTCCACGCCATGGCAAGCATGAAGTCTTGCAGTCAGGCCCCTGTCCCTGTAACTCTCTATGTTCCCAACATTCCAGAAGGCTCCGTAAGGTAACACACCCAGCGTTTCATTTGTTCCTTGAGCAGACACCTAAGAGGTGGTTTCTGACCTTACTGCTCACACAGTCCAGTAGAATTGCTGGGTTTGTGCCTGAAGTTTGTGCTGGAGAGAGTTAATCTTGAGAAATTCCTTTGAAGCAACAAAAGGTGTGCTCAGATCTCCCCTGCAGCGTGTGGCTGGTGGTACAGTTGCCATACAGTGTGAGCAAAAGCATCTCTTTCTGCAGCATCTCTGTTCAGAGGAGATAAGAGAGATACTGGAAAGGGAGTGCTGTTAATACCTCCAGCCCCCCTGGTCTGTAATCCCCTCCAAGGTCCATGTGTTGAGAAAGCAGGAGTCCTGCTGGCCTTGGCTCTGCTCCACAAGGGTCAGTTTTAGACTCTTCCACACACGTGGTGGAGTTGAGGTGCTGATGTGTGTTTGCAGCCACTGCTGTGCCCAAGCCAGCTCAGACCTGTGTGTGCCTCATGGTGCAGGTGCTGACAGTCTCTAGTTACATTTCCTTCCCCCATGTGAGAATGATCTCTTAACTAGTGGTGAGAGAGTCAAGGTTCTTCACCAGGGTGCACCACAGATGCACCTGTAGCAGCCTTGCATCCAGAAGTGGGGGGAGCACCTCAATATCCAAGGTTTTGTTTTTAAGCTCAGATGCCAAGGCACCTGAAGGATGTGGTTAGATTGCCTTCCTTGCCTGAGCTGTGCTTATTTGGTTATTATCCAGAGGAAGACAGAAGGACCTTCAAGCACCACTTTGCTCTTTGAATGCAGTTTAGTGTTTCCTTCAGTGGTACGCAATATTTCATCTGCATTAGGGAACTAATTACCCTCCAGGCTTTCGTGATGGCAACTGTCACCCAGACAGAAGATGTTAGGTGTGCTGTACCTATTTTTGTACCCACTGTGGCCATTCAAGAGGGTTGTTTTGCAAGTGAAACTGCAGGTTCCTTTGCACTTGAGTGTCAGAGGACACGAGTAAGTGAAGCCCTGCCTAAGAACCTGCACAGACCTGGACAGGTGAACCCACGTGTGATGTAATACATTCCATCAAAGCCCAGGTGGCACCAGCATTGTCTTTGAGGAGTGTTTCAATTCGTGGTATCTGAATTCTTGTCCTGTGGGGTTCCACCCACTGTGTGCCCCCAACATTACACTGTGCTGGATCCTCTCTGGGCCTTGAGATCAGTTCTGTGTTTTTATTGTTACAGACTTGGGTTTCTATTCCAGCTGACCCTTGATGTGAGTGTGCATGTGGACAGAGGAGAGCACTGCAGCTCTACCTGTGACTCTTTTAAACCCATTCCCTCTGAGACACCACTCCTAATGTCATCCTCAAAGTTTCTGTAATGTCCTTTGGGCTCTGAGTTGGAGAGGAATTTAAAATTTTGTATGAGCCATTAGATCTGCGATTAACCCTCACCTGGACATGGCAAGAAGCATCTGCTAAGCTGTGTAGTCCTGTCGATTCTGAATAAATAATGTTTTCTTAATGATTTCTTAAATGGAGATGTAAATTCTTTTACACTGTTGAAGTTTCCTCGAGGCATATGCAAATCACATTTTTATGGTTGCTCTTGTTTCTACATTTCTTCATTTGTGTTTTCCGTGTCAGAGCAGTGATGGCCATTGTCATGGCACCATACAGAGGTTCTGTCTTTGTATTATGGAATAGAAAGAAATAAAGTCAACTTTACAACCAGAAAACATTTACATCTTAAATTTGGAAAGCGTACCCTTTCCTGTTCCCGCTGCCCATGTCGTGTACTTGAATTAAGCAGTAATTAGAATTTAGATACTGGTTTATCTGATTGCAGACAAGCCTTTTAGGGAGGCCTGCCTGTGGTGCTGACCTGTTGGTTTGATCTTCCCTGCCAGGATAATAGACCAGCGCAGCAACGTGGAGATGGCCTCGTTCCCCATCTACAAGGTGCTGTTCTGTGTGCGTGGGCAGAGCGGCACCGCAGAGAGTGACTGCTTCGCGTTTACGGAGAGCAGCTGGGGCACGGACGAGTTCCAGATCCACGTCTTCTCCTGTGAGATTAAAGAGGCTGTGAGTGTTGAAACACTGCTCTCATCCCTCTCACCACACCACGTTTAAGAGGTGGTTCAGGTGTGGAAATGGTCCGCAGTGCTTTGAAAAATATGTTTGCAGTCACACGTGAATATTAATATAAGTTGTTTCTATTAGTATTTCAGTACAACTCTAAAGTGCACTGTTAGTGGGAAGATTTAGAAAGCCTAAGGTTAAGACAAATGCTCTGTTTTTCAGACCTCATTTGGGTGTGTTTCCAGCTAAAGCTGCAATGTAGACCTTTTGGATTACAAAGAACCATCTTACAGTACTCTCCCCTAGATATTTTAGCAAGAACCATGTGACAGCTTGAGAGAAAAGGACTTTTTTTGGGTGGAAAAATAAAGGTTGACAAAGAAAAAAATCTTGTTTTTTGACATCTGCCAGAGCAAGCTGTGTGTTGTGTTGTTACACAACCTGAAAAGGACATTATGCAGGTCCTCTAATGAGCTGCATTCCTAATCTTGTAATTTATATTAACTCACTGAGCATGACACGAGCAGGGAATGTGACAGGAATGGCAATGGGGGATGTTACTGAACTGGCTTGGTTATTAAACACCCAGTGCTGAGTGTTTTGTGTTGTGTGAGGCGTGCTTTGTGCTCACCTTCAAAACCACATCACAATACCCCGAGAAAAACCCTCTCATTTTGGGTTGAGCTGATGGTTCTTTGGCTCTCGTGCAGGTCAGTCGGATCTTGTACAGCTTCTCCACGGCGTTCAAACGCTCCTCCAAACAAGCCTCTGACCACGGGAAGGACTTTGTTCTCCCCACCCCAGACAGTGATGTGTACACTTTCAGTGTCTCCTTAGAAGTCAAAGAAGATGATGGGAAAGGAAATTTCAGGTAATCAGAAAGGAAAAGCAAAAAAGCAGAAACCTCCTGGTTGCTTTCAGAGTGCACGGCCGCTGTGCTGCAGCAAAATTCATTCGACCTCCTTTCACCAGCAGATTTGCTATGAAAAGGAAGCTGTTGTTTTGCTTTTACAACTTCCTCCTCTCTGTTTTTTTTTTCTCTAAAACCATTAAAATTCAGGATACATTTTCTCAAGGTAATTTCTTTTCAGTGCATGTGTTCAGGTAGGGATGCTCAAGGAGTGCCTGTGTAAATGGAAAACATGATAGGAAGCACATTAAAAACCTGAGTCCAAACAATTTTCTTGAGTAAATACAGTCTAGTGATCTCTTTTTTTTAATTTATTTTTTTAAAATAAGCTAATAAACTTCGAATTTATTGGAAATTTAGGAAATGTGAACTCTTTTCTGTGATTAACAGTTCATGTTCTATTTTTGTGCTTAAGAATGTTTCTGTTCTTTTAGCCCTGTGCCAAAGGACAGAGATAAACTGTATTTCAAGCTTAAGCAGGGAATTGAGAAGAAAGTGGTGATCACAGTTCAGCAACTCTCAAACAAAGAACTGGCCATTGAAAGGTAAGAGTCTTATAAAATTGAAGTTAAATTTTGGCAAGAACAGTGTTTAATGTACTTTTCTCTGACTTTGCGAGTTATGTGACAGAAAAAAAATACAGCAATAACACAAATATGACTGCACAATAGATTAATGCCACCAGATGGCAATCTTATCAAAAGAGTAACAACAGGAGAATTCCATTCTAGTGAAAAGGAAATTCAAGGTAACATCAGAATCAAGAAAACCTTCCCCTAGCTGTCCCGAAACGTAAGACTGATGTCTTGACTTGTTCTCAAGCTGTGACATCAAAAATGAAAGAAAAATCTTAGACAAGGAATCTAAAACAGAATTTATCAAGAATATTTGTGCTGTAAAACCGTGGTTTTGCTACTCATCAGCTTTAAAACCACCTATTTTCAGTGTATTTTTATTTTAAATAATTTTGGCTTCAGCATTCAGTTATTGAAGCATTTCTGAATATCTTTTGATTGCTTTTCTCCCCAAAGTAAAGCTGCCTTCCTTAGAAATTAGCTTTTATTTTGGTGTTGTTCAGTATATTCAATTAGGATGTTATTTTGATCACCACTAGCTTTGCTGTGAACAAGTTATTTAATTGGCATGACATACTTGTAAGTAATTTTGTTGTCTTAACCCTGCACAGTATTAAAATTCAATTTGCTTTAAGACAGTTGTTCTGAGAGTAAAATAGCCTTTCATTGTGACACACGGGGGGATTGACTCTCTCCTCATTACAGTGTGGTGACAGTCTCACAGGAGAGTTGATCCTGAGTCATGTAGGTACGGCTTGGCTCAAAGTCTGCACTTAAGGTCTGCCTTTAGAACTGGATGACAGACTATTGTTCTTTTTGATCAGCAGTACTGGAAACTCTTAAAGATCACAGAATCCCACACTGGTTTGGGTTGGAAGGGACCTTAGAACTCATCTCATTCCACCCCCTACCACGGGCAGGGACACCTTCCACCAGCCCAGCTTGCTCCAAGCCCCATCCAACCTGGCCTGGGACACTTCCAGGGATGGGGCAGCCACAGCTTCTCTGGGCACCCTGTGCCAGGGCCTGCCCACCCTCACAGGGAAGGATTCCTTCCCAATCCCTAATCTGACCCTGCCCTCTGGCAGTGGGAAACCATTCCCATTGTCCTGTCCCGTGTCACTGTGTTAACACCATCAGCCTTTTCTGTGCGCAACATCTGTGTTTTATAAATGGAAATACCCGTTAGTGAATAATAATTTCAGTTCTTTTTGCTGGGCTAGAAACCAGTGCCATGAGTGCAAGTGCAGAGAGCAGCTCAGTGGCACTGGAGGCGCAGAAACCCAGCGTGGCAGAAGTGAGAGCGAGGCCCACGGTCTGTGCAGGTCATTTTGAGTCTCAAGGGTGTGACTGAAGCTGCTCCTCACGTGTGAGGCTGAATGTGTCAGCTATCTGTGTGAAATCCAGCTCCTCTCAAGTGAGGGTCCTCAACTCATTTAAACTGCCCTTTGAAATCAGAGGGAAGACAAACCTGACTCCTCCTGCCTGCTCTGATCAGTCTTTCAGGAAATCCAGCTTGTCCTGCTAAATCCAAGTCCTGCATCTGAGCTGCTCCGGGTGCTTCCCATGGCACTGCATTGTGGATACAGGGAAAACAAAACCGTTGTCTCCTCTTTTATTTACCACTTGGAATTTTTAGGATTGTGGCAGTGGCAGATGATGGAGAAGGGAAAATACAGTTGTGGATGGAAGTTACTGTTGAGTGTAATGGGGTGGAAAATGAAAATCATATACCCAAGTGTAATAGGGCAAGATTTACCAGGGGGTGTAGTAATGGCATATTTTAAGACTTTCACAGTTAATAGTGTTATTAAAATGGTAGTTGCTGATGTTCATGTGTCTAAGCACTGCTGTTTAGCACGTTGCGTTGTTCTGAGGGTCAGTGATAAACACTGGTTTGTCTGATTATCTCAGAGAACTGAGCTGAACAGAAGAACAAGTCTTTGAAGCAAAACCCTCCAAAATACAATCTCAGTTTTCCTTAATATTTCAGGGTGGAACTGCTTTCAAGTTGTTTTTTCTTTATTTTGTTTTAAGTTTTCTCATTTGAGATCTAAAAAGCCTGTGTAAAACAGCTTGCAGTTTGTTACAAATGCATAATTCTGTTGAGTGTTTTTTATTCATAATGGAGTACCTTCAAAGGAGAGAGAGATAAAGATGAGTTGCAGAAACTTCAGACTTGGATTTTTGCCTTCAGTAGTCACGAAGTTTGAGAACCTGAATGTCTGGATAATTAAAATATTTTTTTTTTCCTCTTTAAAAATATTAAGAAAATTTTCTTGTGAAATGATTGGGCTGGAATTCAAGGCCCTGTATAATACACAAATTCAGACTTCAAAAACGAAGAATGAAGTCTTAAATTTGAGCAAATTGGTTTTGTATTTTGAAGGGCCCATGATGCTACATGGTATTTTACACCAGTGCTGTTATGGGTGATAGAATGGATGAGTTTGTAACTTTTCCTATGATTACAGAACAATTTTTAAAACACAGTGGGGAGAGAGTGAATTTCTTCCTGCCAGTCTCCATCACTGAGGGAACTGTTGGTGTCTTTAAACTCAGTGTTTTAGGTTGTCCTTTAAGAATAACTGTGTTTTCACAGGTCAGGTGCTCCTTTCTGCCCCTTCACTCTGGAAAATGATTCCATTGTCTTTTCTAGAAGGTGTGAGGTGACGTTTCCTGAGTGTTGCCATAACACCAACAAAAAAAACTGCTCCGGAAGGTTCTCTTTAAATTAGAAGCAGTAGGTGGCTGTCCATTATGTTCAAGCAGATACTTTTGTGTTTTGAAAAGCTAATGTATATCCTTTCTCCTTTCTTCTTCCCCCTTTTGTTTTTGTTATAAACACACTTCACAGGTGCTTTGGGATGCTGCTGAGCCCTGGCCGAAATGTGAAGAACAGTGACATGCATTTACTAGACATGGTAATGCTTAGCTCTGATAAGCTCTAATAAGGTAGAGGTGGTTTGAAAGAAGCCCCAAAAAACCCCAACAGAACAGACCTCTCATCTCTTTTGTTTTGTTTGGGTTGGTTTTTTTTGTTTGTTTTTTTTTTTTTTGCTTAAATCCTGGGGTTTGGTATCTTCAAACATAAGGTGGGCCGAATATTTCAGGTCATGTTGAAACCTGTGGCATCTGTTTCCTACTCAGTTGGTGAGGCACAGATCAGGTTGTTAAAATAACTGAGTGTTGTGTTAAGCACATTCCCTAGAAATTTACAGCAAGTAATTGCTTTTATGTTTGGGTGCCAGGGAAGTGCTCTTATTTTTCCAAGGGGCTGAAAACTTGGCCTCTGTTTCCTTCATTTGATTTTAAATTCTTGCTCAGAGGGTGAAGTATTCACTTCTCTTCTACAGTATTTAGTTTCTTAGAGCTGCTTTTAAGAGAACTACAAAACGATGGGATGTTCTCTGTGTTAATACCAAATTGTTTTCTCTCTGTGGATAAGAATGCAGCCGTTTGTGTGCTTGAGTTAAACCCTTCAGACCTTTTGTGGCTCTGCAGTTGTCCCAGTTTTGCCCTGTGCATTTCTGTGCTTGTGCTGCTGATTCTACCTGTCAGTATTTACTTCTCTTGTAGGACTTGTTTATTTACCTGTTTGTCTCTACTAGCCCACTTTTTTCCTGATTTTATTTGCTGAAATTAGTTCCCTTTTTATTATTTGATTATAAAACCAAACAGGCCTGCTGGATCTGTAGGAACTGCTCCAGAAAACCTGAAGCATGTGCTTACCTCAGACTAGTAGTAGCTCATGGCATTATTTTCATATTCCTAGTGCAGATTGTGTGAATTAACACAGCCTTACTCAGAGGTTCCTAGAACTGTTTCCCCTCCCTGTGCTCAGTCTCTTTGACCTCAGACCATCACTCTCATAGAATCCTGTATGATTTTAATTTTAGGAATCCATGGGAAAGAGTTCTGATGGCAAGGCTTATGTCATTACTGGAATGTGGAATCCTAATGCACCCATGTTTCTTGTGCTTAATGAGGAAACCCCTAAAGGTAAGGGACTCCACTCAGCAAGTTTGTTTTGCCCTACAGGGGGTTGGTGTGTCCTTCCTCCTGGCAGTGAGGGTGCATGTCTGCACCTTTGTGTTCCAGGAATCCATCACTAGCAATTCTTCTGCAGAAGCATCATCAACATGGAGTTGTCAACAGTTGGCACGTTGCTGACTGGGAGACATTAAATCAGAGTTTGGGGCTGATGTGCCTGTCCCTGCTCACCGGGAGTTTTGGGTCCTGGGCCACGTGCAAGTTGTTTTCCACCTGCTGTACTCAGCAGAGCACTGGGAACAGCAGGCACTGCTGTTCTGTTTCTTTTAGCTGTGAGGTGAGTTGATTACAAGGAGCATTTCATGCCCTGCATCCTGGGGCAGCTGGCAGTGGTGCAGTCAAGTGCTTGACTGTGTAGCACAGTTCCTAATGCTGGAATCTGTGTTCTCTGGTGGGATGGAAAAGCTCTGAATGGAGATCTGCAGTTTGTTTCCTGCCCCAAGGCAGACCTCACATCAATTCCCTAAAGTCAGATTCAAGGATCCACAACCAGTGTCACTGTTCCTGCTGATGGATTTTTCAAACCCTGTTATTTCTAGTAGCGTATAACAAAACTCTTTAAAAGTCTACACTTCAGAATATGACCTCATCCTGTGCATGTTCCTTTGTCTCGCAGGGATCATGTATCTCAGTGGTGTTTCCTTGATGTTTGGCCCCTGTCTTTAAAACAAGGACATGCTGTCTTTGGTTTATAAAGTTGTCAGAGTTCTTGGTACACTGGTTAATGCACACTCTCATTCTGTGCCACAGGTAGAACTCAGCTGAATAAAACAGGTGCAGTAGAATCAGTAACTACACAGAAAGGGTTTTCAGTTCGAACATCACAAATTGGAACTCTGACTGATTTTTCTGTGGGTGACTCCTTTTTGTGCTGCAGATAAGCGTGTCTTCATGACCGTGGCCGTGGATATGGTTGTTACTGAGGTGGTGGAGCCAGTCAGGTTTCTGCTGGAGACTGTGGTGCGTGTGTATCCTGCCAACGAGCGCTTCTGGTACTTCAGCAGGAAAACCTTCACAGAAACCTTCTACATGAAGCTAAAACAGGTAATGCGTGCTGGCACTCCAAGGGAAAGTGGATGGTGGCAGCATTTGTCTCGTCTGCCCTCATTGGGCCTTTGTAAGAGTTAGCATGGCACCTGCACTTCAGCAGTTTGGTTCTTTGAACTGTTCAGGGATGCTCCAGTGCATAAGGATTAAGTAGCTGTGTAAAGGTTCAGCCCCTTTGTGTCATGGTTTAACCCCAACTGGCAAGTAGGGCCCACGCAGCCACTCGTTCACTCCCCCATAGCAGGATGGGGGAGAGAATCAGCAGAGCAAAAGTGACAAAACTCGTGGGTTGAGATGAAGACAGTTCAGCAGGGAAAGCAAAAGCCATGTGCTCAAGCAAAGCAAAACAAGGGATTCATTCACTGCTTCCCATGGGCAGGCAGGTGTTCAGCCACCTCCTGGAAAACAGGGCTCTGCCAAGTGATTTGGGAAGACAAATGGTGTCACTCTGGAGGTTCTCCCTTCCTCCTCCTTCCCCTGCTCAGTATGCTGAGCACGATGCCATATGGGCTGGAGCGTCCCTTGGGATCAGCTGTCCCTGCTGTGTCCCCTCCCAACTCCTTGTGCTCCCTCAGCCCCCTCCTTGTAGAGGTGAGGAGCAGAAAAGGCCCTGACTTTGTGTAAACTCTGCTCAGCTGTATCCAAAACATCCTGGTGTTACCAACAGTGTTTCCAGCACAAACCCAAACCAGACCAGCTGCTGTGGAGAAAACCAGCTCTCCCCCAGCCAAACCCAGCACACTTGGTAACCTGAATTGTGGTGAGTTGAAATTCTCCATAATTTTATGCAATCTGACCTGTGTGCAGTCATCTAAAGCAGGTCCCTTTGACTGGTGAAATTGGGAAATGGCTCTTTTTCCTTGTAAAATCAAAGAGCTACTGACACCCACAGTGTGCAGGAAGGTGGCTGTAAGAGTTGAACCCACTGAAGGCAAAGGAATCGAATGCAGAGGTTTAAAAGATGTCAGTGTTGCAGCTCAAGTCTGTTCTGTTTCTGGCCTGGGCTGAGGTACATACAGGGATTATATGTGCCAGGATCACTGCAGGATGGTTCCTGTCCTCCTGCAGCCTCTGTTGACTTTCTCTCTGCAAACACTTATGTTTGATACTGGCTCACAAAGTGAAGAGCACAGGCCAGCTGTACTGTGTGCATTGCAACAGTGGCCCATCCTCTTCTGCTAATGAAACCAAAGAGCAGTGATTTAATTTTACCGAGCCTAATGGGAGCATTGGAGTTGTCATCTTTCTGTGGGGCACAGTACAAAAGGTCTGAAAAAAACAAGCTGTGTTGATATTCCATGGGAAAAGTGCTGCTGTGTTTAACACTTAGTGAGTAAATAAATCTCATGCAGTGCTGCTTCTGTATTTCTTCTAGAGATTAGCATAGCAACTTAGAATTTAGAAAATCTGGGAAAACCAACTGTTACATGCAAATGAGAGTATCTGCATTTTGAAATTAAATACATTTGAAAATATTCCGTTCTCAGCTGGCTTGATACTTATCTCTAATCAGTTCAGCTTGCCTTTGAAATCACTTGCAACTGTACGGTTTTTAATTGGGTAATATGGATGCTTTCTTTTTCTCACTCCTTGTAATGTGACAAACACACACGTGCCTCCCTTCCCCGAAGAAACACATGGATTTCTTCCTGCTGCAGAATCCAGAGAAGCTGCTCTGCAGATCTCTGGGAAAGGAATATTTTTAGTTCTGGGAATCTTTCTCCAGGATTAGGTCCTGATTGTGGATGACAGGATCTCTCGGGGTGACTTGCAGCAAGTCGTTATTTCACCAGTTACCAGCAGCAGCTGTTCCTGCCCACGGCTCTGCAAGGTGTTGTGCCTCAGGACACTTTTCCTCCTTGGGAAAGAGCCTCCTGGATGGCATTGGGATCAGCCATTTGTGAGCTCTCTGGGGTGGCAGTTCAGTAGATTTTAGGAAAGTCAGTTCTGAGGAAGGATTCAGGCAGGTTTAGTAGTCTGAACCGAGCTGGGAGAGGTGCAGTCTGATAAGAAGACTGACAGAAATGCAGGTCGATGTGTAATTTAGGATTGTTGTTTGTTTCTGTCTGTCTTACAATTGCTCATGCACACCTTGATGGTTAGGACATGATCCTTGTAAGGGTGGGTTCCTGTAAATAACAAATTTGTGCTTCAGAGCAAACCAGTAACCAAATTATTTACGTTTTATGCAGATGGGTCTTGCAGTTGACCAGAATGTGTGCAAGGAGCTGGAGACTTGTAATCCTTGTGACACAGAGCAAAACCCACAGTGCCTAGTGCCTTACTCCCTCAAAAATCAAAGCTGTATATAGCAATGGTTAATAACATTAGTGGCATCAGTAGGTGATTGATTTAACCAAGTACTTTGTAATTACTTGATAATGGCGTTCTGTGAGAACGAAACAGGGATAATGGCTCTAAGATCACCTGCTAAATGTTACAAAATGCGGGGTATTTGTGCCTACACTTCGAAGTTCATTGCACTGACTTCATGAGAAGTTCAGATGGCAAAACTGGCTGATAATTGGAGCCTCTCCTTAAAGGAAGCACAACTGGAGGACTAAAATACAGTAGGAGAGCTTTCTTACTATCATATAGTTGATATTTGTCAGTCCAAGCAGTGCCTGTCTAAGCTGCTCATCTGCATAATTTCACCAGTTTGTTGAAATGGCAGTTGCTGGTCAGCAGTTCATGTTGTCTCACTGCAGGTGTTGCGGAGTCTTCCAACTTCATCATGACTTTGTTTGGTTTTAAACAAATTGAACGTTCTCTAAGCTTAAATCGTGTTGTTTTTCATGGTTAATTTGATGGGTTTAATACGTTCCAAAAATTTACCTTATTTTAACTGATTAGGCGAGATGCACAAAGAACAAAATAGCACATTTTGGGCTGGTTCATTTAATACCATCATTAGTTTGCAGCTCTGTACAGTTCTCTACAAGCATATTAATCACTGCATGTCACTGAAAAATAACTGTGTTCAGAACTGCAACCCAGAAGAGAAACTAATGCTCCTTTTCTTTTAAAACTTGCAACTGCCTAAAGTATATTTAACTTCTTTTTCTTAAGAAAGTCACAGAATCAAAGAATGGTTTGGGTTGGAAGGGACCTTCAAGATCATTTAGTTCCAACCCCCCCCGCCACCCCCCTCGTTTTGGGGTTCCATTACATTTCCCCATAGGAGGGAGTGTATTTCAAATTATGGGCCATGGAAGATGAATTATTCTGATTTTTAGCAAATAAAACACTAAAAGGAGCTTTTTACAATTTACATCTTGTTCAAAGCATGAGGTTTTGTTGCTTCTTTAGTCTTGTCTTACAATAATTTTTTTCCCCCTCGGGCATTCAGCTCCTGTTTCAGTTACTCCAGTATTTTTCCTCTTTGTTCTGAGGTTTCTCTTTGACCTCATCTCACTACAGCTACTGAAATTGGAAAGCTTTTTTTATCATCATTCTGAACAAGACTGAAAATGCTTGTTAAGAGGCAGCTTTGGAAATGATGAGGTTTTATTTCTATTTCCTACCTGTAAAGCTGAGAGAAGCAGAAGTGTCAGGTATTGCCATCTACTCGTGCCTGGCAAAGCCATCTGAGGGAGTCTTGCCCAAACTATTGCTTAGCCTTGTTTTTCTCCAGTGGGGACCTAATCCATCCCCCTGTTCTCTTTCAGTCTGAAGGAAAAAGCCACACAAGTGCTGGGGATGCGATTTATGAAGTTGTCAGTCTGCAAAGAGAATCTGCCAGAGAGGAAGAATTAGTCACCCCAACAAGTGGAGGAGGGCCCATGTCATCCCAGGAGGACGAGGCAGAAGAAGGTAAGGATAAACAAGCACTTGCAGTTTCCATGGATAATACTGTTATATTTCTGCTGTTCATTTACTCATTTAATTCTTACTACAACTGCTTTGGACAAAAAGGATCACCAGTGATTTTCTACTAGCAGTGCTCCTTTGGTCCTGACGTTTTTACCAAGCCATTGTTTGGGGATGTTTCAGGAGCAGCAGCAGACAGCGTGTCCCTCTCTCTGTGTGCCTCAAAATGTGCTACTGAGGCACTTGTGCTCTGCCAGCAGGGCGGGAGACCTTTCCTGGAGGTTTTTTTTCATCTGATGAGGAACCATTTGCCTTGAATGTGCTCCTAAAGGAACTGGGCTTTGAAATGGCAGGCTTGAAATGCCTGTTGGTAGAGAAAAACAAAACACATCCCAGGCAGACTCACGTGGGGAGTTCCCCCAGCCCCAAACTGTCTGTTTAGCACTTCCCTCACTTATATCTGAGGCTTGTAAAAACATCTGGGTCAGCTGCCTGCCCCTTCTAACAGCACCTCAAATTTCTGCCACTGATGGGGGGTTTTTTGGGTATTTTTTGGTTTTGTTTTGGTTGTCTGAAGGCTCTTGGCCTACTGTTGTCTCTCTGTGCTGTGAGGGTTAGTCCCCAGCACTCAGAACAGGCTTTCTAATGTGCCTTTTCTGGCTCTGGATGTCTGACCTAGCAGAAATTTTACAGAGCTAGTTTTACAAAGTGATTCTTCAGATTTCTGGCGCTGTTCTGTCAATCCTGTAAAAAGTCTCAGTAAGTGGAAGGGTTCCTCCTTGGTTCTTAGTTCCAGGTAAGTGTTGGCCACGAGCTTGTGCACCAAGAGCCAGAACCCTGGCACTGGCAGAGGCAGGAGCACCCAGGTGTGGTGACCCTCTTGCACTTCACAGAATAAACCCGGCCCCACGTGCCAGGAGGCACCAGGCTTGCCACACCCCCAGTCAGGTGCTCTTTGAACCTTCATCACATTCCCAGGATGGAGCACAATGGGCATGGACTGATTATTCCTTCCTTTGTATCAAGTACTGCTTCTGAAGAGTAAAACCACTGTTTTCTCCAAAGGAACTCTTCTGTTTAATTGGAATTTGGGACTGCCTTGCTGTTCAGAGCAGCAATTAGTTCAGATTTGCCCTTTGGGACTTGTGGATCAGGGTGGTGGAATTCAGCTGTGGGCGTTCTTTTCCTTGCTTGGATGTGTGAGATGTTGAGCCAGGATGATCTCGGGGGCTTGTTTGATAAAGTAGAGTTTAAGTAATTATTTGAATACCTCTTTTTTTGTTTAATATTGTTCTTATTGAGAAGAATAAAACTGTGTTCCAGAATGTGATGAATGCAGCACAATTAGGAATCACGTGGATATTGTCCTCGTGGTACTACTACAGAAGGGCTTTATTTTATTACAGAGAACAAGTATTCCACTGGGGTGTGAACCTAAGTTTAACTTGGGTTTAGCTCCCTAATGCTAGTTTCCATATTTTAAATGTAGATTACTTCCTCAGAGAAGACATTAAAAATACCATGATGTGCCTCTGTTCTCATGGAAACCGCATTTCGAGTTCTGTGCAGACAAGTTCTCTATCCTGGAGGATATGCAGGTTCAATGAGTCATTTGCAGTTGTTCTATATAAATCTCTTCATTCTTTTTCTTTCTTTTTTTTTCTTTTCAGGGTACTAATTATGATGATGGAAAAAAGCCCCTTGAGTTTACAATGTCTTGTGTTAGCCTTGGAAGAAGGTTTTTTCTTTAACCTTAAACATGGTAGCTACCTGGCCATATAGGTGGTTTGGTTTTGTTTGTTTGTTGTTGTTTTTTTTTTTTTTTTTTTTTTTTTTTTTTTTTTTTTTTTTTTTTTTTTTACTTCTTATTTTTATATATTTTTTTTGCCTTTTTCCTTATCTGTATATCCTCCATGCCCACAGAGTATTCCTTAATTGATTTCAGAAGCACCACAGTTGCATTTTCTTGTGTATTAGTACTCAATTCCTGTGTACTCTGCATGCACACAGCTCGCTGGGATGTCTTGTGCCGTGAGAATGTGAATAAAGATGGTCATAAAAAAAGAAGGCATTTTTTCAAATTTTTTTTTTGGTTTGTTTTTAATGAAAGGCTAAACATGATCCCTGCCAATAATGATTTAAAATAATGACTACACAAGTGTTAGGCCTAGTCCCTTTCCAGTGTGGAGCAACTGCATGTGGAAAACTGATATCAATTATTCCCTAAATACCATTCCTAGCTTTTAATATTTTTTTTTCTCATTTTAGCTTGATTTTTTTTTTCCACGTGAACAGCTATATAAAAAAAAAAAAAACAAGACCTTTGCAAAGATTGTGCAGGTGCTACTTAGAGATCTTTCAGGTCAACCTCACTTTTGTTTTTTAATTATTAATGTTGCAGTAGATATTTCCGGCAACCCAGTCATTTAAGGTTCCTTGCTTTGGAGGTAATAATTTTTAAAACATAATTAATATTAATGATATCTTGTCAAAACCTAGAATGTAAAGTACGTTCCTTGAGAAGAAGCTTTCTGTTAAATTCCAAATATAATTTAAAAAAGATTAAAATATATAATGAGGAAAATCTTACACTTTCTGGGAAGGTTTCAAATAAAGTGGGTATAGGTATCAGCTCTTATTAATAAGCAGAGCCTACTGTTAGTGTTTAATTTGGAGTAGAACCTTGTGCCAAGGTGCAGAGCACAGTTAGTTGAGCTCCTCCTTCTCCTTTTTGGAGCATTAAGGAGTGAGAGCCTGGAAGGGATGGGGTGGGTTGTGCACACTGAGAAAGGCAAAGCTCAGGGAGTGTGTGGTTGTGGAGTTGTGGGCAGCTCAAGTGCCTGCCTGCACTTGTGAGCCCTCAGCACCGGGGAGACAGCCCAGCAGAAAGGAGAATGTGGTGCTGGGAATAAATAACCAAGGGACAAAGGGAGGGAGAGCTTGGCTGCTTTTAGCAGCAGGGCTTGCTCAGGCCATACATGAAGTTCTGACCTTCCTTTGGCTCTAATATTTGAATTATCTATTTTTTTTTAAATATATTGTAACGTTTGAGGAGAACACTAAATAATTCCATTTGAGTTTCTCCTGCAGCCTGGATGATGTTGGAAGGTTAAGGATCACTGTAAGCTGGAACAGTTCTGTTCAAAACCAGAAAATATTCCCTGAGCTGATTGTAACTGAGTTGGAGATCCTTTGGCTGAAGCTTTCTGTGATTCTGAGTGCCTGGTTATGATCTTGTGTTCCCATCTACGAGCTGTCTGCAGAGCAAGCACTCACCCTAACCCTGAAACAGGGGATTCATGGAAAAGCTAAATCAGGGAAAAGACAACTTGCCTACCAAAAGGAATCTCCTCTCTAGGGTGCCTCTGGCACACTCCCAGATGACCTCTAGGAATGCAGGTCTGGTTCTGCTTGTGGTTTGTTTACCAAGAGAAGAAATAACAGACTTGGGAAGGTAAAACTTGTCTAAGAACAGTAAGGAATGGATAGACAAGAGAGAAATGACCCCGAGAGGTGTGGGAATTCAGCGTGGAGATGGTGGGACCTGGCCCTGAGAACAGGCGTGGAGGAGCAGGGGATGTGGAAGGTGCAGGAAAGCTGTTGGGGTGAGGTGCTGGCACGCTCAGAGATGGGGGGTGCAGTGGGGAAGGAGTGGGCCACGCTCAGGCATCCGAGATGATCAGCCAGACTAAATCAGGATGCTGTGTCAAGGGCTGTGGGTGGCAGAGGCTGATTTCAGGATTGAGGAGAGGAGGTGATGCTTCAGGAGTCAATAGAGAGTATTTAGTGATGAAATAGGGGTTATGATATGAACAAATGGGGATGACTGAGTGAGAGAATGACATTAGTGGTGTCGAAACAGTCAACTCTGCATTTTTATCCAAATTAAAAATAGCTTTATGTACTTCACAGGAACTGTTTATTATATTAACCCAACACACAGTAAAGTTGGTGGGTCCTAAATGACATCATTGAGATCTCTCTTGGAGTCTTTGTGCTGTGTCTGTAAAAGTGAACTAAAACTTCACAAACCTAAATTCATGAGGTTGTTTTGCCAGTGGCCATCTCCAGGCAAAGAACCCTTTGCTCCAGTTCCATAAGAGAGGGTTTAAAATACAGGCACTCCTAAGAACGGCATCCAAATGAAAACTCCTGATGAGCCTGCTGTCGTTTTATGGGCTCTGCTGACCATTCTCTTGCACTGGATTGTTTTCACACCTTACAAGTTCACTTCTGTTATTAAAAATCACAACATAAATGCACTCCCTTGCCTTGTGCAGCTGTGACTGTGCTGCCAGGGAGAATGTGATCCTTTCCTTAGTACATAAAGAATGCTGAGTGCAGAAGACTGGATTTCTCAGATCTGGTGGCAGTTGATGGTTACAGCTGTATTTAGATTTGTTCATGCAGGTATGGCCTGTGTGTGAAATGTTTGGAACCTGAGGCACCTCTGTGGGTTGCAGAAGTGTTTGATGGAATGGCCAGGTTGTAAATGCAATGGTCAGCTGGGGAATATTGACGCTGTTTCCGTTCCAGGCAGTGGAACACACTGGGGAAGTGAGTGTGGCTTGTTCTGAGCTGGTTCATCCCCCTCCTCCTCCCCAGTGTCCCCTCAGCACTCCTGCAGTGTCCCTGGGGACACACCCGTGTGTGTGGGGATTCTGGTCCTGATAAACCTCGTTCCTCACGCTGACTTTGGGAGATTCAGGGCAAACACAATTCCACATTTCTGGCCTGCAGTCCCTGAGTGCTCCAGGGAGATCTGTTGATGCCTTTGGTTTAGTTTTGCTGAATGACAGAAGAAACTGTTCTCAAATAAAGGCAGTGTTCAGTTCCTTGGGTACGCAGGTGAAATCTGCTCCTTGGATTTCAAGCTTTTTCGGTTTTTGTAACTTAAATCACTTCATAAAACACAAAATGAGCGTAAATTGGTGTTTGCATCTTGTCTAGGAGAAACTGCAGATTATTTTCAACAGTTTGGCTGCTTTATTCATTAGTGGTTG